CCTAATTGTCTACCTAAATTGTCTAAAATCCCAGAGATATACCTCCACTTTTAAAGCATTGACAATGAAGAAATCGAATCGATAACAAATCAACCCCAAACAGTTGTCAACACGAAATTCCAAATGGCGCGATCACAGACGGCTTTCGCGGGACCGGTAAGCGGCACTTTCTTGCATGAAATTCCACAATGGTCAACAACCTCGATCGTCGCGGTGTTTGTCGTGCAACGGGGAAGCTCGTTTTTCGTGATCCCGGTGCCGACAGGTCCAACTAGGAAAACCGGCCCCGAAGCGCGTCTGAAACGCGAGTCGAGCTCGTGTTTTCTGCGACGACACGTCCGGTTCTCGCTGGCTAAGAATCTGGAAAGCGCCACGACTACCGGTATAATATACTTACGTATGTACGACTGCTTTGCAAGAAAGTTGATAGACGCGGAAGCATCGGAAGAATAGGCGAGAGACGCCACGGTTAACCCTCTCTCTATGGTGTTCGTTCATGTAACTGGGTAGATGGCGACACGGCACGTGGCGATAGGAAAATGCGAGGGAAAATCGCGGTTTTCTATTCTGGGCGTTGTAATAAGTCGGTAGTTGTAATGTATGAGTGTAGTAATGTACGAGAATCGCAATGTATGAGAATCATAATGTATGAGTGTAGTAATGTATGAGTGTGGTAATGTATGAGGAGGCAACTCTAACGTGTGATACGCATGGCGATACGTGTGGAGATTCTAACGCGTAACGGTTCTAATGAGTAGCAATTCTTACGCGTGATAATACAACGCGTGGCAATTCTATCATGTGACAATTTTAACATGTGGAGTTTGTAATGCGTGGCGATACAACGCGTGGAGATTCTAACGTGTAGGAATTCTAACGCGTCGAGATTCTAATACGCAGCGATTCGCACGGATGGTGATATAACGCGTAGCGATTCTAACACGCGCCAGTTCTTACGTATAGTAATTCTCACGCGTAGTAATTTTAACGCGCCGAGATTCTTACGCGTGGCGATATAACGCGTTGAGATTCTCACGCGTGGGGATATAACGCGTCGAAATTTTAACGCGTGGCGATATAACGCGTTGAGATTCTAACGCGTGGCGATATAACGCGTCGAAATTCTCACGCGTGGCGATATAACGCGTCGAAATTCTTACGCGTGGCGATCTAACGCGTTGGAATTCTCACGCGTGGCGATATAACGCGTCGAAATTCTCACGCATAGTGATATAACGCGTTGAGATTCTCACGCGTGGCAATGTAACGCGTTGAGATTCTCACGCGTGGCGATATAACGCGAAGCAACTCTCACGCATCGCCTACAGTTGTCCCCCACAAATATCCCAATTTCCCCAATAACAATCTAAAATATAGAAAACCTCCTTATAAGCTAAGCTCCAAACAAGTTTACAATTCGATTGACCCACGAATTATCGACAAGATTAGAAAGCGTAATCCTCTTAGCTCCCGGGTCGCGTAGTCGCGACTTCAGGTCGCGTTAATTGAAGATTTAGCGTGTTAATCGTCGATACACCGTCGATTAATGGCGTCGCAGGCGGTTCAGAGCGAGGGACTCCATTGCACGCGGACAGTCACGTTTTCAGCTAATCTGCTTTCACGCTTCGACAATTATGCATTAGCACCACGAGAGGCGCCTTTCTACATTCCGCCATAATAACGGCCTCCTTGTATCGAGATTTTCCTGTTGCGTTTGTCTATCAGTCACGTTGCGTAATCATCGGCTGGAATATTTGTCGTGTCACGATTCACCGATGACGATCATCGATGGGTCGGTAATTGCAGGCCGTGTGTTCCAAGCGTTCTAAATACGCGCGGCTGCATCCGGACGATATATACCGTAACGACTTCAATTGTGTAATCGTATGTTTGTTTAACGAACAGGACTGTAATATTTCCCTACGGCGCACGCAAGAACCGTGGCTAATGCTAATATTCGATTGCGCATCTTACGATGGAAATCACGACGAACTGAATCCTAATGAGATGGTTAATGTGTAGCGATTTTGAAACTGGACAGCAGATTTCTATTAGAAATTTCTTTCTTCGGGAAAGACACTCCCTTAGAAATCTTAGACTCGAACATCTGGGTCGGTCTAAAGCTGATACAGCTAAGGTTTTGTTAGCGAAAACCCATTTTCGAAAATGGTCCTCGTTTTCAAAGATACTAAAGTTCCAACTAAACTGAAGATCAAAATCTCTGAAGTTCCACAATCCTCAAACTTCCAAAATTCTCAAACTACCAAAATTCCAAAGTGCTAAATTCCTCCTCTCCAAATAAGCTTCGAAGAATGTCACGAACCGACACCCTTGCCAATTAAACTCCCAACTGATCCAAATGGACCAAATTGGTCCCAGAGCAACCTAATCATTCCACGCAGCTCGAATTCTCCGGTAATCGTTCGAGAAATCAGTCAGATTGCGCAAAGAATTCTACCAGGTTATCGTGTTACCGGTAAATTAATTAGGCCTCCAAGCCGTGGCGACCTAAACTCGTTAATAAATATGGAAATACGAAACAAGGTATGCGTACTTTCTCGGCGATCCCTCTTCCACGATTTTCTCTAACCGGGACACGCGATAGTCGGCGTTTTTCGCAGGCGAATGCGGGCCACTTGGTTTCGTAAGGATACGGGCGAATTTTCTGCCGGTCGAGGATCGATAATCGCCCTCGGGCGTTCACGATACCGTTCGAGAGTTCCACTGTTCGCGAGGGAGCCGCACCCCGCATCTAAATGATTTCGCTGATTAAACGAGACGGAGAAGCTTGCCAACATCCCCTGGCGATATTTCACGCAACGTCGTTTGTAATCGTCCAGACGAACGCTGCGAAATGTTCAATATCCTAATTGAAAGTTCATCGAACGTTGCGGGTTGTTGCATAATTTTGATTAACGGCTGACGCGTGACTGCGGGTTAAATGCCGAAGTATTCGAAACCTTTTTGAGAATATTTATGCACTTCGGCAAATGTGATTACGTCTTAAAAATTTTATTATTTCTTTTCCTTGACCGACGACATAAAAGGCACCTTGGAAAAAATTTATTAGACCATTGTTACGTATCCGAACGAAATTGAATTACACGCGTGACTGTGGGTTAAATGCCTAAGTATTTGAAACCTTTTTGAGAATATGTATGCACTTCGTCAAGTGTGATTACATCTTAAAGATTTTATTATTTCTTTTCCTTGACCGACGACATAAAAGGCACCTTGGAAAAAATTTATTAGACCATTGTTACGTATCCGAACGAAATTGAATTATACGCGTAACTAGCGAAACTGGGCTACGTTTATTAACGATGCTCGTTAGCCATCGAGCTCCAGCTGCTGCACGTGTCTCGGTTTCCGTTCGCTCCATCCGAGAACCTAGAGAAGTGTTTCCGTCGGCTTAGGACCCTAAGGGACTCGGCCACGTGTCCGAGGAGGGAAAATACAGGTCCGTATTCCCTTGATGACAGATCCAGTTACCCATGAAACGTAGAAGCTTGATCAGAGTTTGCTAGCAGTGAATTCTCGAATATTTCGAAGAAAACCTTTCTACAACCTCAAGCCATATCTGAATTTTCCTTATCGGTACTTAAACTTAATTTCTCACAGTTCACTCAGGAAGAATCAACAGATAGACACGCATGGAAATCATAATTTTACGGGGGTCGATTTACGGGGGAGCACCCTCCACTCATCTCATCAGCGGCTCGATTACGGGCGTGAATTTGTACTACGGGCTGAACAGTTGCTCGATCCATTTATCTCGGTTCACGAATGAACCGTACTGTCTCGTGCACCGTAGGACACAATACACTTTCGTCACGGATGCTCGATCGAGATCGTCCTTGTTCCAGGATGTTACTGATCCATGTCCGACGGGATTTCACGCTTCCATGATCGCTGTTGCGTTTTGCAGAGAGGGATGCGTTTATCCCTACGGGATATATTGGAAATCGACAACTCAAATTCGACCCTTTATTACTGTCCGATGAAATTCTGGTAGAAGGTTTACATAGACTACTGGAATGAAGTTTGAAAAAAATGTGTGATCATTTACATATTATATTATTATGTGGCGGAACATGATACGAGTCATTAACATGTTCTATTAATTTATTTATACAATCTGCACAATCTTTACTCACAATAAATCCTCTGCACAATAAATTACTCATTGGCCTTGTAATTCGAATACAATTTTTACTGCCCTCGTAACATGCTGTACTAATTTATTTATACAATCAGCACAATCTAAATTACTCATTTGCCTTGCATTTCGAATACAACTTTTACTGCCCTCGTAATAATACTTCTCTTGTAATGATACTCGTAATAATCTCATAATGATAGAATCCTCTAAATCCGAATTGAAATATAGATTTCGATGTACTGAATTTATTTGAAAAGTTGTGAAGTTCCTCGCAATCAAGTGATCCATGGCGAACCCTATACACGGAGTTATGTTTGCGTAAACAGTTCGCCTCCGTGCACAGACAATGTCCCTTAGCGAAGGCCGCGAGCTCCCCTGCTCATCGTTGCGCTCCTTTCCCCCATATGTCGATTTATGGTCCCAGCATTAGGGACGGTTCCGTGCTGCACCGCGGGAGTTCCACTTCGATACGTAGAGGACAGGATATCGTTTCCATCGAAGAAGAAGGGCCTTTATTGTTCCCTTTTGTTACGGCCAGACCAATGAAATATTTCCGTGTGTTTACACACAATATTGTATTCATGGCAAATCTGAGCAAACTTCGAGGGAGAATCGTGTTTGGAAGCCATAGTTCTGTGGTGGTAGATCATGATATATGTTATAGTGGATCACGCTACATTTTGTTGAACCATTTTATTCTACACCGGTGTTTGATTTATTAGAGAGCTATGTCTGGAATGTAAATTGACACGATCCGAATAAATTATGCTATATGGACCCAAAATTTAAAGTTCGAAAATTAGTAAACGATCGTTAAAGAAAGATTTATGTGTTACAGAGACATCTTGACAAAGGAAGCGACCTTGCCGAGGCGGCGAGTGCGAGCGGACTTCGCGAACTCGCGAGATCCCTGAAGCAACACCTTCGAGGATTCGGTACGCGCCTCGAAGACAGACGCGAGTACCTCGAGGACACGTCGAGATGTTGCCTGCTTCAGGATCGGGCATACGAGTGGGCCCAGGAGGCTCGTATCGCTGGCGAGAGGGGGGCTCAGCAGTTCCTGATGGCCAGACCACCCCTGCCGCCAGAGCATTTCACGGAAATGATGGCGCTCGCCGAGAAACTCGGTAACGAGATCCTTCTGGAACAATGTCGTATCGCCAGGAACAAGTGTGCGGAAGCTCTCGAGATTGCGAGGACGACTTCCGCTCCCGGCAGTCCTGCCAGAAGAAGATCCTTCGCTGCCTCGGAGTCTGCCACGTCCTGGGAGGACAGTTTGACGAAGAGTATGTTTACTCTCCATCCTCTAATAATAATTCTTTGCTTCGATAAGAGTTCAAGGACTAAGTTATCTTGAAACAAGCATATTGTTCGTATTCAATTGCTGTATCTTTATTACGGAATAGTAGTAAAATTTCTCTGAACATTGACGACAGTAAATGTGTGTCGCGCCATTGGAAACAATGTAAATTTATTAAATACCAGCGATAACGTGCTCTACTTTCGACGTACTTTACGTAACCGCTCCACATGTTCTAAGTGCGATAAAAAATTCTAATGTTCGTTGTCAACACTTTTATGGTATCTTTCAACGCACTCTGTTACTTCTCCAAAGGATGCCTGTTAAATACATGATCGTTCCAGGAACTTCGTGGGATGACAGCGATAGCAGCGCATCGTACGCCTGTCCCATGGAGAGTGTAGGATCCGCAGGAAGCGGTGGTCGACCGGTGCTGGACAACATTGCCGAACTTCGGGAAAGTGCCGAACAGCTCCTGGATTGCTCTCCTCCGCGAACACCTCCTCGAAGCCCTGCTCCACGACGACTTGTCAAGCCTCCGGTGAACTCTCACTTACACAGGGCTGCTAGCATTGCCCCAGGAATGAAGGCGAAAAAGTATGTGCATTTGTCTACTTTCTATTTTGTATTGCAGATATTAGAGATAAAGGTACATGATGATCTTATGTATAGAGATATGTGGAAGGACCTTAAGAACCATAAGTGTATATATATTTTAGTAGATAAAAATTTGAGAAATATTTAGGAATTAAAGATTGTAAAAATGTGGGAAAGTAAAAACTTGTAGGAATTTAGAAATTTGTAATTAGACGTCCCGACATAACACCCATGCATGTTTCCTTTTATGCTTTAAATTGTCACGCTAACAGAAATGTCCATTAGCCGCGATCGAACGTGGGAGTCTGTAGTGATTTCGTGTTACGTTTTCTTACGATTCCTCTTCCGTGTTCCGGACACGCTAACAATGCACCGCTGTTTGCTTCTAATAATCTCCGTGTCGAGATTATGCGAATTCGTTACGCGCTCGGCTAACGTCGTTAACCAGGAATTTCACCTTGCAGAACAATACTGCTCATAATGAGGGAAATGATACAAACCGAACGAGACTACGTGAAGTCGCTCGAGTACATAATAGAGGTAACAGTTTTCCCAATATCGTCTATTCTATTATCGAATAAATTTCGAACTCGTCGCGCTTATTAACAACATTGTTCCTGAAGAATTACATCCCGGAGTTGGTGCGGGAAGACATTCCTCAGGCCTTGAGAGGACAACGCAACGTGATCTTCGGAAACGTGGAGAAGATCTACGAGTTCCATAGTCAGCATTTCTTACGGGAATTGGAACAGTGCGAGCAATCGCCGATGAACGTGGGACAATGCTTCCTGAGACACGTGAGTTGCTATCCCTTTTTCTTTATTACTTGGATTTCCCTGGAGTACCCAACGAGAAACTTCGCTTCAGGAGAAGAAGTTCTATCTGTACGCGCTCTACAACAAGAACAAACCAAACTCGGACTCGTTGATGGCCGAGTACGGTACCGTCTTCTTCAAGCAAAAGCAACTGGAGCTAGGCGACAAGATGGACCTCGCTAGTTACTTGCTGAAGCCTGTTCAACGAATGGGGAAGTACGCGTTGCTGCTGCAGCAGCTGGTTAAAGCGGGTACCGACCTATCGGAGCAAATGTCCGGCAAGGACGACAAGGAGGAGAAAGAGGACGGTATGAAGCCGATGGTCGAGGGCGAGGCGGATTTAAGGGCGGCCGAGCAGATGGTACGGTTCCAACTGCGCCACGGAAACGACCTGCTGGCAATGGATTCTCTTCGCGATTGCGACGTACGTCTTATTTACTTTCGCTTAACACAGATCAAACACCGTATCACGCGAGTCACACGGACTTTAATGTAACTAATTAACGATGATGTAGTAGAAGAGACAGTCGTGCCAACAATGGCGATGGAGAGTGTATGTAATGCGTTCTATGTCGTAGATCTATGTCCTGACACGTTGAGTTTACGTTCATGCAAATTATAGGTAAACGTAAAGGAGCAGGGCAGACTACTGCGGCAAAACGAGTTCTTGGTCTGGCAGGGTAAAGGCAAGAAGTGTCTGCGACAAGTGTTTCTATTCGAAGACCTCATCCTCTTCAGCAAAGCGAGGAGATTTCCCGACAGAAAGGTGAGATATCGCGAATCCAATTTTATTCGTCCCCTACGCATGTTACCTGAGAACGATTCTTCCCCCTGTTTCAGAACCTGGATATCTACATCTACAAACACAGCATCAAAACGACGGACATCGGGCTGACTGCCGTGATCGCCGACTCGCCCACGAAGTTCGAGATTTGGTTCCGCAAGAGGAAACCAGGCGACACGTACACGCTGCAGTGCGCCAGCGAGGACATTAAGAAAGCTTGGACGGAGGAACTGAGCAACCTTTTATGGAAACAGGCGCTGCGAAACAGAGGTATGCTTTGCGACTAACTTTACGTTTTGAAATATGTCACTTGTCCCGCCGGAGTTCGTCGGTTGTTGGTCTAACAAGAACGCCTTTTCTGACCGACAGAAGTGCGCCTAGCAGAGATGTCGAGCATGGGCATCGGAAACAAACCTTGTTTGGACATTAGGCCTAGCGCGGATCAGATCAATGACCGGTCTATCAGCGTAGCTCAACTCTCGAAAAGTAAGTGTGGTCTTGTTACTCAAAATTTTATTTGATAAAATTATAACTTCATTATTAATGTAGATAGTGACCATGTCTTAACAGTAACGAACGTTTACTGATAGCAATGATGTTATTTTTACTTGATCCGTTTGAACAGCGCCTAGATTCAGAAACTCGATAGCAGTTTCGATGTCGGAGGACTCGGGTCGCTGCAGCAGAAGGCCTCACAGTGTCATCTCCGTTAGTTCTTCGTCGAGTAGCGGTGGTAGTAGTGGTCCCCCCACGACGTTGAACCTGGGTTTGGACACGAGTCCCAGACCGCATCATCGTAGCACTACTCTCAATAGTCAGTGCAGCGTTGGTACGTATTTCTTCCACTGGCGTGACTAGATATGGTTCAGTGTTCTGGTCTTCTCAAAGTATGTACCAGATCCGTTACAGCTACTGTACACAGCTCGGGAGGTGAAACAGGGGACAGACTCTTTGTCATATAATTGAGTTAATACGCAGTGAGCTTTAGATAGAGTCATTCCACGCTGATCAATCAACCTCTGTGTCATCTTGCGAGCTTTGCACAGCAGTTATTAAATAGTTCTAATATGAAAATCATCGATGTCGAAATTCGTTCCTTGTCTGATGTGACAATGCGATTACAGAAAGCGGTATAATAGCCGATATCTCGATCGTCTCTGACGACGGAGGCGACGGCACCGAGAGGAGTCACTGGAACTCGACTTTAGAGAGCCCCACGTCCCATCTGCCGACGACGTCGACGCCTCTACAGTCACCGACCAGCGCAACCGCGACCGCAACAGTTACCTCGGCCACTTCGTCCGACAACAACCTCACCCCTTACGACCAAGACATGTCCATTAATTTATAAACGTCGCCCCTGAAAAGGACGGCACCTTTGATCCCAGCTAACAGAGTACGATATCGTCGATTCACTTGCGAGTTGTTAGACGGTGAATATACACAGTGTGATTCAAATCGTGTGGCATAGAATTCGACGGATAATAGCGATGATATGTCCACGCAGTGTGTACCGAGTAGATAATATAATATATTAGAGCGAGTATTTTCTTGAGCAATCGTAGTTCCACGAAATGGCCCACACGAGCTACGAGAGACGAGTCTCGCATAATGCCGTACACAGTGTCCGACAGACCGTTGCATTTACGCTTAATCACGTGAGTTCCGTAACGAACGCCTGTTCGCAAACCATTGCCACGGTACGCAATCGTTGTTTGACAGTGTTCGAAAATAGAATGGGGTTTATACGTACTCGTAGACTGGTATTTTCGATGAGAGCTCAACTTTCAAGTGAATTTTATCTTTTGATACGCTTCGATGTTTCATTGATCAGCGCTCGCGCGCGCGATCGCGTGTTTAATAGTCTTCACGTCTGAATTTGATAAAAAGAAACCATTGATTTTTCCAGAAGTAAAACGGCAACAAGTGTATTTTCTTATACTGTCTCCTCGAATCCACCAACGTGCTCAAGCAAAATCCTAGATAGAGAGAGATGTGTTCCGATGAAATATATATATATGTGTGTGTACGGCTGCATGTTATCACAATGTGCTCTGCAGCGTCGTAAACGGCATGCACCGATTGCCATTATTCTCATTAACGATTGGCATTCCTGATCATCAACGACTGAGAATCTTATCGAGAAATCTCCAAATCTATGGTACTTTTTATACTTTATTTATACTGCGTAGTTAATAAATAACGATATTCCATGTCCACGTTGTGTTCGCGCTTACTATGACAAAAGAACAAACCGAGAAGCAACGTGAAGTTTCTTATTCTTTCATGTTTTTCTCTCGAACGAAACACCCGAAGGAACGTTTCGCCTACTCTTCAGGTATTCCATTGAGTTGTCGGGATATCTCTTCAGGAATGTCAAAACAATGCGCACATATACATACCACTTTGTAACATAATGTAACATTAAAGGTTTATACGATATAGCCGGCAAGATAATATAACCGATAGTCTAAATATTATTTCCAGATTATATATTAAATATATATAATATTATATTCTTTTTTATGTCAGTCATTTGTAAAACCTTTTGTCACCCGTAGATGTTAACTCTGGCCTGTACAACAAAGCCAAATTCTACCCTCTATCTCGTTCTTTCTCTCTTCTCTATTGCTTTTCTACTTTTTACTTCCATTTCTTTTTAATAAAAACGAGTAGTTTAAGTACGTTGTTGTTTCTTTCCGATACACGTGTGGACGTTTTGGGAAGGCTTAAGGATAACCCGTAACGGTAAGCTTCTCTTAAGACGATCCACACTAGCGTTTGAACGCTGATTTCTTTATTTTTCGCCCCAGAAGCTTAATCTATCGAATGTACAGGCTCGATTATGGTTCGTTGATGTAGAAATATGCGACAACTTAGCGAACAACACACGATCGCCTGTACAGAGTTTCGACTATAAAAATAGTCACGTTCGATCAAAGAAAGAATTAATGGCGCGCGTAACAAACAGCAATTATCCTGTCTCATAATTCTGCATTGTTACGTTGCTTCCAAGCGAGTCAGTCGATTAAGCCATTGTTATTGCCAAGGTCTGCCAAGGTATTTCAATGATATCTTATGGACAGTGACCAAAATTCGTTTAGTTGAAACAAAAAAATTTATCATATTTAGAGAACGTAGTCGTAGAGCGTAGAACATTACAAAGAATCTCCAGGCACAGTCCGATGCACCCCAGCAATTATCGGTTTTCTTCTTTATACGCGATTTAGTTGTACCATACACGCCCAATGTAATTGTATCGAGAATGTCTAACGTAGATTCAATAGATCGAGATAGAAAGAACGCAATGCGCATGCCATATACACATGAAATCGGTGCATCCGGCTGAGCATATCCTGCCCTTCGAAAGTGAGACTAAGCGAACGAAAGTATAAAAGGATCGATATAATTCTCTATTTTCCGTGGTTCTGAGTTTGGTGTTACTTTTGAATTTGGGGATGTCGAATCTGAAGATAATAACTGATAACACCTACGGTACCTTAAGAAATACACCGATAGTCACTTAATTGTACACGCTCGTAGATATTTATTAATATTTTTTTAAGTAGATCGTTTTAGTCTAAATAGGTTTAAGTATTCGCATCATTATAACGGAATGTATATATATATTATATATTTACAATTAATAACATGATTATTTCAGTATTGTACTGTGTCTAACACCGATGTATTTTACTACTTGCTAAATATACTGTATTGGGTGCCTTTTGTAGCGAAGTTAAACCTTTTAATTCGTTTGGTTATCCCTAAGACTTACCTTTAAACGATCGTTGTACAAATGTGAATAAAGCTGATCCAAGGAAATAAAGCTCCCTTCGTATCGTAACAAATTATCGATGTATCGTTGCTCGAATGATTGAAATCAAAAGTTCAGTAACGACGTGACGCGAAACGACAGTTCGGTTATGACGTGTATTCGTGGTGTTCAATATTTTATTTGCAAAATTTATTTACAAGCAACAACAATCTTCCAATTTTCGTGTATAATTAATGACTCTAACTTTGTGCGAAAGCGAGGCACGTGAAAAGCATCCGAAAGACGTGACTCGAGCGCAGATCTATTCTACGAAAAGGCAAAATACAACTTTTGTCGCATTACTGTAAGTACACGTCATGGTTAAACATATACGTCGTTTACATATATACTTGTAATAACGTTAATTCTAATCAGTCAAACTCGTTTCGTTAATATCGGTATCAGCAATAATGTATTCGCAGATGTCAAATGTATCGTAAAATTTAATAACGCGTCTAATCTTTTAACGACTTAGAGAAATTGACTAGGACCTTCCTAATCTTACGAATAAATTTTGGTCCCAGCATATAATTATGCCTGTACACTTTTTAAGAATTTATGACTTTATGACATACGCATAACTTAAGCACTTTGACACGTCATATGATTAAAAATATAGTAAATCACAAACCACCTTTATAGTGATATCTAGGCCGCAGATCATCACTAATTTTGGTTACATATTTAAATTCTATATGAAACATTCCTTAATTTTAAAAGTGATTGCACTGTTGATATCGATACTTAAACAACAATGCAAGCTTTCTTTTTTTCTTTCTTATCGCTACTATCACATTTTGCCTCGGGTCACAACTCCTTTTTGGTGTCTTCTAAGCTCTTGGACGAACACGGTGAATCTTGTGTCGATTTTTGCTCAGTCAAAGGTTGAACCTCTGTTCTCGATTTTTGCATTTCAATCTCCTTTTTCTTCAGTAAACTTGCTCCAGTAAATCCTATATATATCATAGGTATTATAAATACAAATTGTATACAGAAGAAATATATATCACACTAGTAAGATCACAGTAATAAATATATTCTGACAGAACTCACCTAAAATACCACAACCTAGTGCTGTCAGTCCACCAACTTTTAATCCTGCTATTAGACCAACTGGTCCACCGATACAAGTTCCAAGTACAGCTCCTGCCACAGGGTACATAGCAACTTTGTACCTTGCAGCTTTTGCAAGGAACTTTTCACCCTCTTTCACATTTACATGTGTTTCTTCTATGCCATCTTCTGCAGAATTCACCAATTCCTTCTGATCCTAATTGACATATGTTGATTTTTACAAAGACTGATAGTTTAGTGTCAAAGCAGAAGTTGAATAGAATGAATAACTCACATCCACAATTTTGTTAAAGTCCACGAATAATTGATGCAACTGATGTATATCACCTTGCAGGGAGTTCCAGGCATGCATACATGCCTGTTGACGTTCCAACTCTTGTTGTTCTTCCTGCAACTGGACATATCGACTGTCAAGTGGGTGACTTTCGGGTTGATCTTCGCTTTTGGGTGAATCTGGTGGTGAAGTGGGCAAATTCAACTGCAGCTCTGCAAAGTAAATACGTTATTATAACTTTTAAAGCAACAGTTACAAAGTAAACCATCTCTTCCTCACCTAAGTATTCCTTAACTGCATTCATGATACTGGAACGAGCATTGCCAGTCAGCTTATCAAACTGCTCAATGTCAGAATCTAAAACTTGTGCTCTAAGAGTATCCATCTGATATAGCAACTCCTTAAGTTGTTTTACAATCCTTGATACATTCATGTGTTCTCTATACATTTTCTCCCAGTCATGCTGTGCTTGATACTGTATAAAAACAAAAAAATTTACATGTAAATATTTGTCACATAACCAAAGAATATCTACTCACTTTCTCAATGTTGCTTTTGTGACGTTTCAGTAAACCAACATGATGCGGAATAGCAACATTAAAATTGTTTATCTGAATTTCCAAACGCCTAATAGGCTGTTTTAAAGCGATGTTTTCAGGCGAAGACGACATTTTCAGTCTCTTTAATTCAATATATTCTCTACTTTTCCACTCACATTCCTTTCTCCGCAATTCTAGAATCACTATTTCTCGTAGTCGTTTTCATTGATACACGATAATTTACGATTCGAACACTGCTTCATAAATTTTCTTTTGTTACAAAACATTAATTAGTCATACTGGAAACTGGAAACTGTGGAAGTTTACTACACCATCAATTTATTTCCGTATCAAAACTGACAAAAAAAATAACCAATCAGCTGATTATTCGCGAAACGCACGTACTACAGTTGTAGCCATTCAACTTGTTGTCAATGCCATCTATACTGAATGAGTACAGTTACTGTTCCTCAATGACTCGCGCTAGATAGTAAAGGTGGCAGAAGTTGTACCATTTTGCGCAAAGGCTTCCAAACATGTTTATAAATGTGGACAGTCAGGAATAGGGAGAGATAAGAAGTTAATTAGCAGTACGATATGAATTGTCGAGTTGGAATTTGCAATTAATTTTGAAAACTTAAAGAATGATCAATTTGTTGTTTTCATTCATGAATTAGATATTGCTCAAGAAGATTGTTTTGCGAGATCCAAAAATTTCGAAGTACGGGACTCTTGAATTTTTAAATTTTGAGGATTTGGAATTTTTCTAGGAAGACAGATTTTTAAAGGAAAGGATGTCTTCGTGGAATATTTTACCACGATCAAGGAAGTTAAAGTTCCATTAGCGCAAAGGATAGGTAGCGGTTGAGGATAGCCAGAAAGTCGCGAAACCATGTCCCGAAAGGACGTACGATCTTGATGAGTTTCACGAGGGTTCGGCGAATGTACAATTCGGTATAAAGCCGATGAAGCTTTCGGTAATGAAAAACCGATTGCGACCAAATAGGCTCTGGGCTGCCGGTGACGTGTAATCGAGTCTTCTCTGCCATTTCTCCCTCCTCTCGCTCTCTCTCGTTCCCTTCTTTTTCCAGTCGCCAGCCTCTGTTGGCTTCCATTAACCACCATACGTCATATATACCGTAGGGGTAGGATGGATCCGTTTTGTCCCGGTTTCTGGTGACCTCTTATTTCAAACGGCATTCAAATTACTATGGGCTATCTCGATATTCCGTCCTTTGAGCTTTTGTCACCGGCCGGATAGATGAACACTCGGTGTCTTTGACGTCGTCGTGCCCTGTTTCTGCGATTCCTTTTCTGACACCGAACACCCTCTCGCTACAACTTTTATCGCTCGATCCGACGATTTCGGATCACCTTCGACGAGATCGATCTCTCGATCGTTTCGCCGGTTCGTGTTCCACGCTCCGTTCCGGTGATATTGCCTTCGTAGCTTTAAATTACACGGTCTAAGCGTTATTTGTTCCGTGCGCCTTCTTATTTCGCTTCCGGCGTTACGATGTAAGGAACGGACGCTTTTGCTTTTCTCAATAAGACAATTAGCTCGGCAACGAAACGCGGAACGAGCTAAAACAGGGAAGGAAAAATGGAAGCTTACGACGGACCAGGCTTTGTGTGTACCGGAGGATAAGAAGGCATCGCCCATTAGAATGCAGCGTGCTTGTCTGCAATCAGACTGCTACAGGCTCCTAACTAGCTATGGATCCGACGAGAGCGAAGGATACGAACGTACCTCGAAATCAATCAACACAAAATCGATCACCATATAAAAATTCAGATCGAACAGCTTCTCAAATTAATATCTATAATGGACTATGATATAATTAATATAATATAATGGACAGATTTATACACTACATACATGCAGATGAGAAAAGCACACAAGTCAATAATCACACAAGTGATGGTTAATTTAAAAAAAAATTTCAAGAAGCCATATTGCCTTGTTAAATAATAGTGTACTTACTTTGGTGGATGCAATGGATTTATGTATAGAAAGATACTTTTTTCGAGGACAGTATAATACTCGACTTATCGAGAGTACCGCGGACGAAAGAGAATCAGTTGCGACTGTTCGTAGCTGCTCGTGGTGAATTCAAATGCCGAGCACGTGCCTTTGTTACGAGATAATACCACTTCCGAATTTATACCTAAACTCCGCTTTAGAGACTCGAGATTCGAGTTCCTAATTAACGGGCCAAATTCGACAAAGCGCCAGGCGGGGTAAACAATGGTAAACAGTGAAATTAGAAGAACGTACTAACGTGTCGCGTGTATCAATGCGGTGACGAAACAAAAGTGTCGGTTTTCTTATTTTTGAGAATAGTTTCGACAGGATTTCTGTATGGAAAATTCATTTGCGAGAGAAGTTAATAGAAACAGTTGCTGAGAGAGGAATAACGTTTACGCGAATAAATATGCAAATTTTATAGGAAGGACTTGTACGATAGAATATACGAAACATAACGTGTAAGATAATAATAGGGTTACAGAGGAGCGCATTTCGAAAGGGTGACCGCTTTAGACTGTCTGTTAACACTTTCGTGCGAATTCTCTCGGGTTTGACCTTTGACAAGGTGTACCTCGGTGTCGGAGAAATTGCGTCTATTTCCATAAACGTTTTACACTAGTTTAATTCTTATCCTAAGCCGGACGCTGTAGAACGAATGTTTTCTTTCCAGCAGTGGAGTCATTGACTTCTGCTCGGTATCCGTACGAGCGACAATCATTTAATTAATCTTCGTCTAGTATTCAGGTGCGTGAAATTGAATCACGGCCACGATGAAATCACGTTGAAAGCTCGAATCGACCGACAAAAGGCCAATCACAGGTTGATTGTGCGCCGCGAACGGAGGATAAAGTTGTTACGTTTCGATTTTTAAAAGATTCCACCTGTTCCGTTCGGCCGCGAGTTTCGCTTTGCTCCGCTGTCGTGTCTTCGTCGATTCGATCAAAATTTATACACATATTATTCCGCGCGACGGAAAACGCCGAAACAACCGTGTCCCAGACAGAGACGATCGCGAACGCGACAATAAAATGCAGGAAATACTTTCCGCGTGCGTGAATTAATTCATGCGAACGGCCAATTCGAGTGTCCGGAACAGATTGATCAGCCGAAAAGGTCGTTCGGGCATACCGAGTAAATTGGTTTGTTGATTTTCATCGAATATCCGATCGAACCAGTCTACCGTGTAAACGACGCCAGATTCGAAGTTTTCTGAAAATAATGAATCCCATTTGGATACCGTTCTCCAGCGGCCGAGCGATTGCGCTTTGCCTCGAAAACATTCATTTTCTATAATTTCCTGTTTTTGTTAACGATCGAGTCTTTATTCGAATTATAGCACGAGTGAAATACAGGCGTAGAAAATTTTCGGAGGGTACAGTTTATGGCCACTAAATCCACAGGATATAGCTGCATCGAGGAAAAAACTTCGAGTAAATTACGAACGTTTGTTTCGACCCTTTTCGGGTACTTTTCCAAAGATTTATTATAATTACACGAACTTACAACGATCTCGATTTTGTTCTACCTCGAATCAAAATGGTAGATTTACCGGATTATTGACGCGTATTAAGAACGGCTATTACTCGCCTTCTGGAAATTTTTGTTGGTATAATTTCTGAAATCTCCGGTCTCATTGAAATTGTGTAGAAAAAGAGGGAGAAGAAAGTAACACGGTGGATGGCAGTAACAAATCCTACTCTCTCGAGCGGAAGCTCGAATGTAACGACACGTACAATTCACAATCCTGTCCCTTTTTTGCGGTCACTGTACGTATTCGTGCATTCGCGGGACGTTTTACATTAACGCGATAAAAAGAACGAGAGGAAGATACATAGACACGGCACGCGAGTGGTAATAATTCTCCTCGTGACGATATGTCAATAACGCCGTATAAAGTATCGTCTATCGGTATAAGCCCAATATTCAATGGGTACCTATCAGTTTTCCGTCGTGCACGGCATTAAATCTGCATCCGATGAAACCGATTTCCTCTTGAAAATCACGGGGAGGACTCTGCACGACGGAAGAGAGTGGATCTGCCATCGACAACGGCGTGTCTCCAACATTCGTGTCTGTCGATGATCCGAAACGAAGAAGAATGTTTCCGTCTGTTCGTCTGCTTGCTAGAAAAAAGAGGTATCGTCAGACCACTCGAACTAAAATGGAATTTTGCTTGTTCACGGAGTAGCGAGAGGAAATTTATGCGAGGCCATTTACGAGGAAATACTCGCTCGGTTATTAAAGCAACTGCATCGAGGCTCGATTAAGCATCAACAGACTTTTATGATTTAACGCGATCATATCGATATTTGACCGCAACATTGGCTGCGAAATAATCACCGTTTTAGAAGCTCAGAGGAAATTGTTTAATTAATCGAGTTAGAATCGGTAATGCAGCCCATTAAACGGGGCCATTTTAAGCAGCGGCCATTACTCTATAGCGCGGGAAATTTGACATAATTTTCTCGGGACGTTATCGTGGTTGTACATTTGCCAGAGAAATCGTCGCGACGCCGGGAGAAATAGATTCCAGGGTCCACGAAAAAACAAATTCGCCGCGTTTAAGGATAATGTATCGCTACTTGCCACGCCATTTCCGTCCGTGCCGAGTAAATAACGCCACGGACGGTCGCTTCCTTTTTATCATGGACGATGAAATTAAATTCTTTTGTCATTGTTCACGCCGGATATACAGTTTGATGCTAGCCTCTTTATCTTCGGCTTGATTAATGAACAACTCTGTACACGCTACCTTATCTAAGAATTACACGGGTATACTTTTCGCGCGATCTTCTGGCGAATTCTTTTCATCCTTTTCCTTAATTAACGATGTCCTGGTCGTTCTAGCGATAAGTTCCGAGGGCTTCACAATAGATTCCATCACAAAGAAACAGGGAGTACCTAAATTAACAACTTAAGTGTACAACGTGCTACAATAAAGAGTTCTCGATTACGGTCATACTTCATTCATAATATTTAACGCAAACATTCTGAATTTTCTTTCGACAATGTTGAATTTTGTTTGCTGGAATGTGTTGCCGTACGATGATCGCGAAAGGATGAACAGTGAATAATAATATACTATTATTTATAGGCAGAGAAGTCTATTATTCATATGGATATTGTCAGAGATAAAAGTCCATGAGATGAAATATTTGTGTCTCATCTGTATCATCACTATATGTAAATACAATAAGTGAGAAATGTACACGGTTCAATGAACGAGTCGCAATAAATCAGGACGTACCTTCTCGGAAATTAAATACACTCTTCCGATTAACAGTTACATGGTCCTTAGTCGTATAAGCGTGTACATGTTTAACCGTTAATAACGATCGATCAGCCAAATTGATCGCTTACT